GACCTGAACCCAATCGAGATGGTTTGGGGTGAGCTGGACCGCAGAGTGAAGGCAAAGGGGCCAACAAGTGCTAAACACCTCTGGGAACTCCTTCAAGACTGTTGGAAAACCATTTCAGGTGACTACCTCTTGAAGCTCATGGAGAGAATGCCAAGAGTGTGCAAAGCAGTAATCAGAGCAAAGGGTGGTTATTTTGAAGAAACTAGAATATAAAACATGTTTTCAGTTATTTCACCTTTTTTGTTAAGTACATAACTCCACATGTGTTCATTCATAGTTTTGATGCCTTCAGTGAGAATCTACAATGTGAATAGTCATGAAAATAAAGAAAACGCATTGAATGAGAAGGTGTGTCCAAACTTTTGGCCTGTACTGTATCTGCAACCTCGGAGTCATTTTCGACAATAACCTCTTGAAAAACACATCAGTCACATTACCAGTACTGCCTTCTTCCACCTAAAAGACATAGCTCATATCCGCTCATCGTTCTCCCCCACTGCTGCTGAAACTCTCATCCATGCCTTCATTACATCCAGAATTGACTACTGCAACAGCATTCTCTACGGAACACCATCTAAACTCCTGAAGAAACTCCAGTATATCCAGAACTCTGCTGCCCGTCTGCTCACCCATTCTCCATCCCGCGATCACATCACCCCTGTCCTTCAGAACCTCCACTGGCTCCCTGTCCCACAACACATCCAATACAAAGTCCTTCTCCTCACCTATAAAGCCCTCCATAACCAGGCCCCCTCCTAATTCACTAACCTACTCCATCGCCACACTCCTTCCCACAGCCTCTGCTCCTCTGATGCCAACCTCCTGACTCCACCACTCAGGACCAAGCACCGGACCTGGGGCGACAGGGTCTTCTCCATAGCTGCCCCCTCCCTCTGGAACACTCTCCCCAAACACATTCGAGACTGCACTGACCTCTCCAAGTTCAAATCATTACTAAAAATACATATTTTCAAAATGGCTTTTAATGTGTGAATGATGTTGTGTGTATTTTATTGTATTCTATCTTATGATTTTTTAACCAATGTAAAGCATCTTTGAGTACCTTAAAAAGTGCTCTATAAATAAAACGTATTATTATAATTGTTATTATCATTAAATGCTCGTATTGATTGAACTGACAGATTACATTTCACTGAAAATGTATTCATAAGATTTCATGTATAATAAAAAATAAAAAATTGATTTTTTGATTGACAGTTCTAGTGTTGCAGCACACTGCATACGGTTACCCATGGCCGGACATTGATTTACAGCCAACAGTCAGCCTGGTGTGTCAAGTCAAAGTCAAAAGTCAAGTCAAAGTGCCTTTATTGTCATTATATTGAGAACAATACAGAGTCCTTACACTATATTGTGTTTTCCTTTTAAAAGACCCATTAATATGTTTTACTTTTTACACACAAATACTTATCTGTCAGTCAGCCACTGCTTTCCTGTTTTGTGCAATATAAAAATAAGTTTGAAGAAACTGAGATGTGCTCCAGTCATCACTGTGAACATGAGGTTTACTTTTACTATTCTTAAAGTTATGTTGTGTGGTGATGCATTTGAGTCATCACTTGACTAGAGGGTAAACGTGAAGAGAAAATGTTAAGACGGTTAAAATTAACTGGTAGTGTCCTAAGTGTTTATGTATGTTGTTATCTACCTTCCAGTAGATGCTTGAGGTCCCACAGGAAAGAGTAGTGCTCACGGCGGATTGCCAGGAACACGATGCCAGCCTTCCCCACAGCATCTTCATGGTGGGTCACATCCACCACATGAGGAAATGACTGGGCTACCAGTTTGGGATGGCGGCTTCCTACCACCACATGGAAGCCACATCGCAGCAGACGGATGGTCAGGCACTTGGAGAAGTCACCTGAGCCCAGGATGGCCACTGTGGGCTGGGCAAGCAGATGGGCAGTCTCTACATCTCCAATTCGGCTCTTTGTGCCATTGGGCAGGAAACAGGTCTGTGTGTGTCGGAGGTGGTGGGAGGATGGGGCTGTGAGGAACACAGGGCTCCTGCTGCCCATCATAGAGATAGAGTCCATCTTTCTTTCCTGTCACTTCTTCTGTGGTTTTCTGCTTAGGAGGATTTCAGTGGGTCTAAGTGAGGTAAGAGGAAAAGAAAAGAAGGGCAGGATTAAAGCACCATTAAATGATTGGTTTTCTTGGGCATTTATTTTTGGCATCCCATGGGGTACAGTAGAATGACTCTGCATCAGCTTTGGCCATTAATTATTTTCCTGTGGCACAAATGTTAAAATGAAACATCTCAGCAAATTACGATGAGCTCTACACATGCTCAGATTTTAACTACTGCAACTACAACAGCTACAGGTACAGTTACACCTTGTTACCAGTGTGTTCAGTGGTGCAGATAGCACATGTACATTTATATGTACTAAGATGTAACCTCTTAGACATTACTCGTAATCTAGAACTTAAAATTTATAACTGTTACATCACCAGTTATTTCATCCATTTTATATTGTGTTTAACTGAGTTTAATGTTATTATACAGTAAAATCAAGAAGAATCCTTACTGTCTTAGGCAAGAACCCTCAGAGAAGTCTTGCAATGCACCCCTTGCCCCTGCCACTTAGCCCTTACCCCTCTATTATGCTGTTCATGTCTAGGGATATGGTTTTCCCGATTCTTGTTGGGATAGGGGGTTAAGTGTCTGGGCTACGCGGTTCACCAAACAAAGGTTTTTCAGAGGCAAAGAGTTAAGAGAAATCATTGGCAAGATGACTGTGCAAGGAACAAAATAGACCACACATGTTTTTTTGTCATTAATATATTTTAAAACTATGATAACCATAATATTGTCTTTGTTTAATGTTGTTTTAATGTATTTTGGTCCTTTTCTTCATAACAAGCACAACAAACATATACAACATACCACTATGCAAAATTCTATACATCCTTTGAATATCCTATTGATCATGTTTCCACATGTATTTTGTATCCAATCTGTGTTAAAACCTCATATTTTGAAAGGCAGAGGTAGTCACATATGTGTCCTAGGCTGAAAAAAAAAGCCCTCCAATGAATGATTAAGAAAAGTCAAATCAAACATTGACTGAAGAAATTACTGCATGGTATTAAATCATGAGATGTAGAAATATACGCACATCACTTAGTTTGGGTGCTGGGCTGAATGAAAAACTTAAGAAAAAAGAGAGAAAAAGCCCGCACACTCTCATTATGCTTCAGAAATCTTTACTAGTTAGACAACGTTTCAAGCATGTCAGCTCTTCATCAGGTCATCTTACAAGTAATGTGTTTTTCACCCATATATGTAGACTCCCACTGGTGACCTCATAAATCATGGGTGGTCATTCACAAAAATATTTACACACATTATACTTAGGCTATTGTAAACATACATAATTGATCACTGATGATAACTATATCAAAAATATATTAGGCAACATCAGGTTAAAAAATAATACATATATCACACCAGGTGTTAACAATTATCAACTACAGAAAATGATGATTGGGGAAGTCCTCATTCATGCCTTTGGGGGACAGGATATCCAATGTAAAAATCCAAAAGGATTCTCGTTGTAACAACAGTCTGTTTGTGTCTCCTCCTCGTCTCGGACGTTTTACGTGTTCAATTCCTTGGTATGTGAGGGATGCCACGCTGTGTTTTGCCTGCAGAAAATGCATAGCCACTGGACTCTTGGGGTCCTGATTGCGTATGCTGCATCTGTGTTCTGCGATGTGTGTTTTTAATGCTCTATTCGCTTTCCCCACATATCCCAAACCACACGGACATTTAAGCAAATATACTACATTAGTAGTGGCGCACGTGATAATGCCTTTAATGTCAAAACGCTTCCCCGTGAGGGGATGCGTAAAAGCGTGGCTCTTCGTGGTGAAGTTACACTGTGCACAACTTGCACATCTGTAATTTCCATCTGGAACATGTCTGAAAAAAGTTTCTTGTCTTTGGGGGAGAAGATCTGATTTTACCACAATTTGTCTGATGTTAGGGGGGCATTGTCTACCACTCTGGGCATGTCTTTGAATGTTGTAGATAACTTTGGATCACTGCTCAGGAGATACCAATGTTTTTTTATACCTTGTTCAAACTCCCTTCCTAGAGTCGAGTATTGTAGGATGCATAAAGGACTGTTGTTGGAAGAGTTATTCCTTGTGGATTGCAGGCACTGATCTTGTGTTATATTCTTAAATCTTTCCCGTGCTTGTCTCAGCTGGTCCTGTGGATAGCCTCTTTCTTTAAAGCGCATATCCAGAAGGTCCGCTTGTTCTTCATTGTCCGCGTCCTCACTGCACAGTCTCCAAATGCAGTTATGTTGGCTGATCGGGAGGCTTTGTTTTAAAGAAGGTGGATGGAAACTGTTGGCTCTTAATAGCACATTTCTGTCTGTGGGTTTTTTTTTATATACAGTTGTTTTGAAACATGTCTCCTCTCTTGTAATCAAAATGTCGAGATAATTAATTTCTCTCCTGTTGAACGACATTGTAAATTTTAATGATTGATTACAACTATTGATCCATCGGAAGAATTCATTCAGATCTTGTTCACTTCCAATCCACAATAAAAATATATCATCAACATAACGTCGCCATAGTTTAATGTGGGACAAGAAAGGATTGTTGGAACCAAAAACCATGTCTTGTTCAAATAAACCTATAAATAGACCAGCATAGTTAGGAGCCATCCGACTCCCCATCGCCGTGCCACGCACTTGGAGAAAATAGTCACTCTCAAACATGAAAAATTCCTAGTGAGGACTAGTTCAGCCAATTCTCTGACACAGTGTGTGGTGGTTGAAGACTGCGGGGCACGTTTATTTAGAAAGTAGGTGAGTGCTTGAAGCCCATATTCATGGGGGATACAGGTATATAAATTTTCAACATCCAGAGTAACCATGATAATCTCCCCATCAACACTGTCAATGACTTTAAGAGTGTTTATCATATCCATGGAGTCTCTTACATAAGATGGAAGAGAGAAAACATGGGGTTTTAGCAAAGAGTCTACATAGGTAGAGATTTTCTCTGCTCTCACCAGAGTGACAGGATGATCTATTTTCATAAAATCAAAAACACCCTTATCAAATTCTCCATTATCAAAGAAATACTTTAATTTGTTATGAATCTCTGTTTTGAAAAGAGTAGTGGGATTAGATGACAGCTTTTTATAGAAAGTGCTATTAAGAGCCGACAGTTTCCATCCACCTTCTTTAAAACGAAGCCTCCCCATCAGCCAACATAACCACATTCGGAGACTGTGCAGCGAGGACGCGGACAATGAAGAACAAGCGGACCTTCTGGATATGCGCTTTAAAGAAAGAGGCTATCCACAGGACTAGCTGAGACAAACACGGGAAAGATTTAAGAATATAACACAAGATCAGTGCCTGCAATCCACAAGGAATAACTCTTCCAACAACAGTCCTTTATGCATCCTACAATACTCGACTCTAGGAAGGGAGTTTGAACAAGGTGTAAAAAAACATTGGTATCTCCTGAGCAGTGATCCAAAGTTATCTACAACATTCAAAGACATGCCCAGAGTGGTAGACAATGCCCCCCTAACATCAGACAAATTGTGGTAAAATCAGATCTTCTCCCCTAAAGACAAGAAACTTTTTTAAATGTGTTCCAGATGGAAATTACAGATGTGCAAGTTGTGCACAGTGTAACTTCACCACGAAGAGCCACACTTTTACGCATCCCCTCACGGTGAAGCATTTTGACATTAAAGGCATTATCACATGTGCCACTACTAATGTAGTATACTTGCTTAAATGTCCGTGTGGTTTGGGATATGTGGGGAAAACGAATAGAGCATTAAAAACACACATCGCAGAACACTGATGCAGCATACACAATCAGGACCCCAAGAGTCCAGTGGCTATGCATTTTCTGCAGACGAAACACAGCGTGGCATCCCTCACATACCAAGGAATTGAACACGTAAAACGTCCGAGACGAGGAGGAGACACAAACAGACTGTTGTTACAATGAGAATCCTTTTGGAATATTACATTGGATACCCTGTCCCCCAAAGGAATGAATGAGGACTTCCCCATTCATCATTTTCTGTAGTTGATAACTGTTAACACCTGATGTGATATATGTATTATTTTTTAACCTGATGTTGCCTAATATATTTTTGATATAGTTATCATCAGTGATCAATTGTGTACATTTACAATAGTCTAAGTATAATGTGTGTAAATATTTTTGTGAATGACCACCCATGATTTATGAGGTCACCAGTGGGAGTCTACATATATGGGTGAAAAACACATTACTTGTAAGATGACCTGATGAAGAGCTGACATGCTCGAAACATCTAACTAGTATAAATTTTTGGAGCATAATTAAATCATAAGATCAAATGAGGAGTGAACATATAATTTTTTCTACATGTATTTATTCAATCTTGAGGCTAATTTATTCAAATATTGGTCAAATTGTTTGGAGGACTAAAATAGTGGAAACAGTTTATGGTTGTCAACTCTCAGTTTGCCAGTTATACCCAATTAATGTAATGCCAGGACTGTTTAGGGACCCCAGTATGCAGAAATATTTAAAAAACACTATTTTGAAAAATGGCAATATTCCTTTTTCCCTCACCAAAATTTAGTGTAATTTTGGAGCATTATTTGGCCCCTTTTCTGTCAAGACAGAAAGACATGGTTAGTACCAATGGATACCTTATGTCCTCTAGTTTAATGTGATACCTATGTCTTCACTGTAGCTGAGCCGATGCAGCAGGTTTTTATCATTGACATTAGTCGGCATCTCACCATCAGCTCTGCCTGTCATACCTGCTGCCTCTTCACATTTTTATTTTTTTTACGAGACATTTGTTCATCACCTCTCTGCTCCTTTCATTTTCTTGTTCTCTCTGTACTCTGTCTTTTCTTTTAGGAGCTCCTGATTTTTGGTGAGGCATTCTGGCTTATTGGGCTTCTCTCGAGTGTTGGCTGCCTGCTCTTGTTAGCAGGACTTTTGATTTCTGTGCATTGCGCATCTCACCCCCTCTGTCAGATGGACCGCACTGTTGGGATTCACAGGACCACAGATTATTTGTCATTTGTTAAAATCTAAAC